ACACTTCCTCCCACCTCCCCTTGGCCCTGCAGGCAACACACACACACTGTCTTTCTTTCTCTCTTTCCCCCTCACACACACACACAGCATGGTTAGGCCTCCAATTAAATCAAAAGTGGTTTGTTTTTATTGGTCTTTTGCGCTGACAAGTGGGCTATCATTCTGACGGCTCTACCTGTCAGTGAGCAGCTGAAAATCCTCCGTTGACAATGCCCAATGCTTCCAATTAGGGGAGAATCAGACTCCTGGCGCGCTAGCCATCTTTCCACCCTCCCCCCCAGGCCCACCTTCCCTTCCTTTTTTTCCTCTGCACTCGCTCCTCTAGCATTCCCCTCTCACTTTTCTCTCCTCCGTAATACCTCCCTCCTCCTCCCTCTTTTTTCTTCTCTTTCCTCCCTCCTCTCTGCAGGAGAAGGGGGTCTGTCTCCGCTGCAAATTACCGACACAAAACGAAGGTGGTGGCGGCGCTGGCGCAGGGAGCTGCCGGTCCAGGGCCCTGTCAGCATTAATGAGACGATGAAGGTTTATTTCGCCCGCATGCATGTGCTAAATTCTTTCTTGTGTGACAGCTGACTGGGAAATGTGAGTGTTAACCTTATAAAAGATTCAGCGGGTTCTCATTATTTTCTGTCAACTCCACTACCTGATGGCGTTAAGGTGCATCATTTGCATCCCTGACTGGTCCAGGGTGCAGCACCAGCTCCAGAGCAAGCGCCTTTCCCCCTCCTTTTTTTTCCCCTCTTTCTCTCTCTCTCTCTCTCCTGCCTCTTTTTTTTTAATGCTGTTTGTTTGTTGAGAGGAGTCATCTTTTTACATACAGCCCCCTCCAAAGACATGCTTTACTCCATGTTCCAAAACGACAGAGATGCCAAAGTTTATTCAAAGGGGGCACACATTTTTACAAAACATATCCAGATATATATTTAACACAGCTGCTCGATTGAGCGAGTAAATAAAATGTTTTTTTTTCTCCCCCCTTTTTTTTTTTCTCCTACACAAAAATCCTGGAAGCTGAGGAGGCCCAGCAGGCATTATTAGCAGCAAAGCATACGGACTGTATTCAATAACGCAGGAAGAAATGAATGAAACAAAATAGAATAAAATGTCAACAGACACATTATTAGCATTGACAGGTCAGTATGAACTGAATTTGAAACTCCGTCTATTTAAAGTTAATCTGGTTTTTGGAATGAGATGATAATATTGTATGTCTTCCAGCAAAACCGGGTTCAGATTATAAATATTTGCTTTAAATAGACAGAGTTCAACCAAACTTTAGGGCTGTCAGCTCTACTGGAGATGCCAACTTTGGTAAAACAAAAAGCAAAAACCGAAAAAGTAAATGGATGGTGTGTGTGAGTGTGTGTGTGAGAGAGAGAGAGAGACGTCAGCTCAATCTTGCCGACATTCCCATTTCCTCTTTAACGTGGATCAATAACTTTACTCCCACAGAGAACATGCATGTTTGTATGTAATTGTGAGGACCAGTCAGTGACCTATAACCTGTCTTATGCGGGTTTTCTTGTGCACATTTAAAGACACGCGGAAGTTCTTTCAGTTCTGGTGAATGTTCTTTATTTAAACTCTGCTTCCTGCTCATGGTGAATCATTTTTCCAACATCCAAACTAAACTGGAGGTGATGGTCTATTTTGAGAATTTTCAGAACATTGTCCTCACAAAGTATCAAAGACATACACACACATACACACACACGTTTGTCTTTATGTACTTGTAGGGACTAACCATAATAGACAAGCTTTCTTCTGAGGACATTCTTGTGTGTAGATAATTCCTCACTAAGAAAATGCTTTTTAATGCTCATTTAATGACAGGTTCAGTTTTTTTTTCTTTACGCCATTTCAGCTTCACTACGAATGATATTCCACAAAAGAAGTACACACACACACACTAGATTGTCCACACAATATGTGTGCGTGTGTGTGTTTGAAGTGGATCAATAATAAAGTTTTACCCAAACATCTGATGAAAATAGACACCAGCTCACCGCTCACTGACCATTTCCCGGAATCTTTCCTGTTTCTTCTCTTTATTGTGGATCAATAACCTCCTCCCACAGGGAACATGTGTGTGTGTGTGTGTTTGTGTGTATCTGTTTGTAAGTGTGTGTGTTTGACAATTTGGGAGCCAGTTGCAGTGCAGCTGAGATTCTAACTACACCCTGGAAAGACGGGTGGATAAAAAGGTGAGTTTCACTTAACTAGAGAGACACTGTCCAAAATCAGCAATTGCAAATAATTATACAGAACAGGACTCTAACACACACACACACACACACACACACACACACACACACACACACACACACACACACACACACACACACACACACACACACACACACACACTCTTCTCCCCAAAGAAAATGTATTTTAGGGTTTATAGACTTAAATAGAGCTGAGCAGAAAAGAGCAGGAGGGAGCAGAGGAGAACAGAACTGTATAAGAACAGAAGAGATAATGGTGAATTAAAATAGAATAAAATAGAGTGAAAAAAAAGAGAACTGATTTAAAAAACTGAAGTAAATTAATCAATAGATAATTGATTAGAATAGAATAGAACAGGATTATAATAATAATAATAGTGTGATTCTACTGTTACTGCATGATGTACAAAATTTGTTGTGTCTCCTCTAAACAGGGAAAAGTAACATTTGTCCTGATCTCACAGGCTACACACACATTTTTATCCCTAAGAGCTAAAAATTAGGTCATTAAAAAAAACATTAAAAGAAAGAGTGCAATCAGTGCAGCCTTAGGAACTCATGCATTATTGTACCAAACATAAGTATTGAGCAAATTTAAAGTTATTGCACTAAGTGCACATACAACGGTATTGCACTGAAAATATTGCACACAAATAGTGTTACATCATATGTTTGTAAATATTACCAGAAACCAACGTTCATTCAAACTGATCTTAAAATATGTCCAGAAATCTGTCCAGGCTTGAAAACACGTTATTTATTTATTTATTTTTTAGAAATAAGGTGAACAGTTATGCATATGTTTTATGAAAGTAAAGACTTTGTGAGGTGGTGTCAGAAAATAACTTTTAATTTGCTGCTATACAAATAGACGTTGGTGGACAAACAATTCAGTAAATCAGGTTTGCACCTAGCCAACAATTTCTCATTGTAAGGATTTACTGCTTTTCTCTGTTTGCAGAAAATGTTTTTTTTTTCTCCCAACAAAAACCAAAAAGTTGTTGACATAACTTTGAGTCCTTGAAACTTGAGATGTTTTACATTTTTATCTTTTTACACTATGAAGAATGAGACTTCACTGTAAAATCACACTGAAAAAATAACTGATGACAGAATCAACTCCTTAGTTTACTCCAAATTAAAATGAACACATTGACAACATATGAGATTATTTTGTCATGTTTATGTCAGTCTCTCACATGTTTTCTTGCTCTGTATAAAATTATAGTTTTTTGGATAAGATTGCTCAGATTTTTTGGGATTTTTACGTTACAAGATCCCCAGGGACCCTCAGATAGTGGACCTGATTATCTGTAATCTATACTTATACTTTAATTCAGTGAGATTGTAATCTGACAAATGTGAGTAGGTAGAAAAATGAGGTAAATCCAAAAGCTTTTTGGGTGGTAAAGGGTTAAACTCGAGTACAAAAATCAAGGACTTTGACGGTCTTTTATTCTTTTAATAAATCAAATATAAAACAGGACCTGTTAAAGTTTTACAGACCTAACTAGACAGGAGAGTCCAGTTGAGACACCCCCCATGATTTATTGTCTCCTTGTTCAGAGCAGACAGTGGACACGCGGCCCTCTACCAACACAGACAAAAAGGCAGTGAGAGAAAAGCATCAAACCACTGCTGCTTTTCATGCACCAGCAGAGGAGAAAGAAACAGCTAAGTCAGAGTGGGTGTGTGACTCTGTGTGTGTGTGTATGTGTGTGTGTATGTCGTCTTATATCTGCGTTGTCCCCGCCTCACATGTGACAGCTTGCAGCCGTGATGGGACCCCATGGGAGCGGGGAGCGGATTCACTAACCTGCCGGTGTCTGAGACCGGCGCGCGCCTCCAATCTGGTGGTCACATGGGGTGGATGAGGAGGAGGAAGAAGAGGAGGAGGGGGGGTTGAGGTGGAGGTGGAGGAGGAGGAGGAGGGGGGAAATGGATGATGATGAGAGAGGGGTTAGTTAGATTATTAGGGGCTGTCGGGGCCGTTACGCGGGGCAAACTGTGGCACAAAGTGCGCACAATAGTATTTCACGCATGTTAAGGGGGAAAGTGCGCACAATGGCAGCTCACGCGCCGGGAAGTTTTGCGTCACGCTGCTCGGACTATTGAGCACGATTACCAGGGACTAAATAGTTAAAAAGCTCTTAATGATGACTTTAAGACTTTGTCCTTTTTTTGTATTTTACAACCAAAAATGTTGAAATTTGAACAAAAAAATGAGTAACAACCATTTTGCAAAAAGTGGAAATGATGGATGTGATGGGTTTGCTTTTGGATTTTTGAGGTGCTACTTTGGCAAAATGCAAATTAAATATGAAGCGTGGAAACAAATCAAACAAATCAGAGAAGAGTGTTAGTAGTGAGTGATAAAATCAAGTTATAAGACCTGAAAATCCAAGTTTTTACGCAATAGATTCGACAAACCCCCACTGACCAGAATTAGATGATAAAAATGATAATTCTCATAATAAGAACAATAATGATTGCACTTTTTTTTAGTGAATTTGGCATAAATAAACATTACACACACTATCTTTTTCAATCCTCTAACGCCATAAATCAGTGATATAAAATCTCTGAAAATCTAAATGTGTACAAATATTTTTGGTGACGATAAAAAGTCAAATTCATGTAAAAATGTGCACAAAAAAAGAAGCTGTAGAGGATGGTAACACATCCAGTTAGAGACGAGGAGTGGAGGAGAAAAACGCAGCGAGCCGCTCCACATAATAACCCCATTATAAGCCTCATCAATGATGTAATGAAAGCAAACAGTGTGAAAATTGCCTGTAAACAGTTGGATCTGAGTCTCCTGATGAATTCAGTGTCTCTTTTATCAAAGTGAGGATGAGCCAGAGAGGAGAGGAGAGAATAGGAGGGAGGGAGAGAGGGAGAGTGGGCGTGTAGGGAGGTCCACTTCCAGCTCCCCTCAGCCAATGAAGGCTTGTCACAGGGGACTCACGTGGACGAGGCGCTCTTAAAACCTAGCTCCTGACTTTTCCTCAAGTTCAATTTTTTGGGATTCCCTCCCACCCCATCACATCTCGTCCTTTTACTTGCCAGTTGTGACTATTTAACCCAGTTTACCTCTGCTTTTCCTCGCTTGCTTGCGGCGCGCATCGCTCCGTCCTACGTCTTCCGCCTCTTCCCCTTCTTTCCGCTGCTGCAGCTCTCGGACTCTTCTCTCACTTTCTCTCTCTCTCCCTCTCTCTCTCTGTGTGTCTGTGCTGCGAGTTTTTGGAGGTTTTGTTGTTCTACTTTGGAGAATTGAAGCAGTTTTTGTCTGAGTAGTTACATGACAAGCTGCCCTCTGCGTTTTCCTCCGCTCCGCTCTACCTGTCCATGGTCCTGAAAGAGACGGCTTCTTCTCAAGATTACGGTGCGCTGCTCCTCCAAAAATCCACACTCCATACTTCTGTGTCTTTTCGTGGTTCGCAGGTGAGATACATTCATAAATAACAACCTCATCCTCCCCCGCTGAGGCTCCTGAACTTAAACCAGAAGGAGTTTGTCCTGAAGGAAGCAAAATAATCGATTTTCCAAGAGACGCAGCGGCTGCATCGATTTGAGGAGGACTCGTCTTTTAACTGACAGAAAAATAAGAAAAAGCCGGATGCATTGACGCAACTCAGCCTGGAGATATTCGTCTTTCAGCAAGTGGAAATAGCGGACACATTTTCTGTTTTGTCGCGCATCCAGATCACATTTCCGTGGAGCGGGGAAACTGGGTTTTCTTCCTTGCCTTCTGGATCAAGTGAGACTTAAAGATCCTCCTCCTCCTTCCCTAAGATAAAAACTTGTCCTGAATACCAAATGGTCGTTTGAGGAGGCCCCGATCAAGACAATGGAGGCGTCCGCCAACGGGTCCAGTTTTGGCATCGACTCGCTGCTGTCCCACAGGCCGGGAAGTCCAGTATCCAAAGGGGACAGCCTGGTGGGAGAGTGCCGCTCGCCTCTAGAGTTCAGCCCGAGATCAGACGCGGAGTCCGGCTGCTCGTCGCCACCGTCGCCGAGGAGAGAGTGCGTGGATGAAGTGGCCCAGAGGCAAGGTCACGGCGTGGGCCTTCCGCCGCACCTGCAGCACGCACAGATCTCGGCGGGGTCGCAGCAGAGGACCGTGACCTCGTCGTTTCTTATCAGAGATATTCTCGCGGACTGTAAGCCTCTGGCAGCGTGCGCACCCTACTCCAGCAATGGACAGCCGACTCAGGAGGCAGGGAGGCTGGTGTCCAAGATAGCGGACGACTTTATGGAGAAAATCCACAGCAACTCATCGTCAGACAGCGAGTACAAAGGTAAGAGCAGAAAAGAAGTGTCAGTAGACTCAGGGAGGGATGAGATCAGAGGGGAAACTGATTTCTCCTCAGGACTTTTGGCTCTCGTACAAACTACCTCCATCATAGGCGTCCTTTTATTTATTTATGTTTATTTATTGACATTTTATCTAACACGTTATCAGCTCTGTTCGCTCTTCATCAGCATCTCACTGATTCTTCTTATTTTTGCCTTTTTTTAACCCGTAATTTGGACAAACCATAATAAAATCTGATTGAATTATGAGTAAATTATTAGAGACAAGACTGGTACAGAACATATGATTGAATCTGGAAAAATGAAGTCGGGCAAGAAGTTAGAAGAGTAATGAATTAAATTTCAATGAAAGCCAAAAAGCTGTAGAGGACGTTATTGAATTAAAGATGTTAAAATTAATTTAATTAATAAAAGAAGAAAAAAAAAGTGATTAAAATGTGTTGATTCTTCGTGATTTAGGCCTTAGTTTGTAAATATTGATACGACTACTTTTACTGATAATAATAATAATAATAATGATAATAATAAAATAATAATAATAATAAAATAATAATAATAATAATAATAATAATAATAATAATGATTCAGAAAATTTGAGAAAAATAATAATAAAATATATCAAACTGGTTATTAACAGATTTAAATTACATTTCATTTATGAGATGCAATATGTTACTGATGCACATGCAAATTTAATAATAATAAGAAAAAATGTCTTTAAAGAAATTCTCACAGTTCAAGAACTTTATCCAAAAATTTGGGATTAAATGTAAAAACACTAAAAATGTCCAGATATTTATTTACATGGTGATCTTTGATTTGGTTGGTAGCAGGTAAAAGTACACCTGCAACCTTCAATAATATCAATAATATTGATGGCTGTGTTAGAAGATATATGACCATTAAAATTTGTTTTTGGAAAAATGTATTTAAAGAAGAAAAATAGCAAAAATAAAAGATATTTAAGTTTATTTTAATTAAATTTTCCGTTAATATTCGACATCATACTCAGTTAGCTGCAGATGACCGTGTGTGCTGTATAAGTGTACATGCGAAACTTTGGTGGACACACTTAATAAGCTTATGGGTCAATTTTTTTCACTATTTTTTAACTCATAAAAACAACCACTGGCCGCATGCTTTGCGTTACGCACGCGGCTCATTTCAGTGATTGTGGTGATGAGAAGCACCAGGAAGCATGTGTTGATGTCAGCGAGGCAGAGCAGGGAGAGATGACAGGGTCGCCTCCAGATAAATGCCATCAAGGGCCTCTCTGTTTCCAATCATGTCAGCCTTAACAGACATGTCACCGCCATTGACAGTTTAATGAAGCAGCGCCTGAAAGGAGGAGGACGACCGCTGCTGCTGCTGCTACAGAGGAATTTATCCCACTCTCAGTTACAACATACGGACGTCTAAAGTGAAAATTACTGGATTATTTTTGTCCTTTCGCGTAAATAAAAGCCGAATTTTCTCATTGATCCACTTGTATTAAAGCGATTGATATCCCGCGTCATGTCATCAATTTGCTCCACGGTTTGGGGTTTGAGCGTGTGCGTGCGCGCGCGTGTCACCGCGTGGATGGAGCTGCTCATCGACGCGCTGATTGATTGAAGAAGCCGCGGGGCCCTCAGAGCGCCTGTACGGCAGCTTTGATTTCCCCCCTCAATCCGCCTCCTATAATATTTCAGGGATTTGATGCAATTTGTCCCCGGCGCTAATCAGATTTGTAAGCGCGCGAGGCCGCCCGGCTCTTGATTTCCACTCATTTCCACGGTCCTGTGAAGTTCCTCCGGTCGCGGTTGAAAGGCTCGCTCTTCCCTTGTGGCTCAATTAGGCGGATTATTGTGCTTCTTGAAACGACTCAACTATTCAACTACCAAAGATCTCTCGCCTCTCCACGCTCGCGTCTCCCCCTCTCTTTTTCTTTCAGAGGATAGACTATAAGGAGTGTGTGTATCAATGTTCGCCCTGACATGACACCACGCAGAAAAAGAACAAAGACTGTGGCCCCACTGACGGGGGAAATATCAGATTGGGAGTGTGAATATTGGAAAAGCTTTTCATAACAATTTAAAACCAAATCAAACAGATCCAGATCGCCTGTAGGCAATGTTCCTGTCTTCACGGTTTCAGTCTCAACATTCATATAGTCACTTCCTTCAGAGTATAGATACTATAGAACCAGCATTATACTAAAACTCAGAAGAAGTAAAAAGCAGATGGTTTGCCGTGGATTTATAGTAAAATACTGTTCTTTCAAAATAAAGCTTTCTCGTTCGTTTTCAGTGGGTGCCACCATTTTCTTTCACTAAGTTATAATTTCAGCTACTTGAGGACTGCAGTTTGAGAGCTGTGCTTTTTAAAAATTGCTATCCGATCGCTCGCCGATTATTTATCGAAGAATCGCTCAACCGATAAAGTTCTTAATTACAGTGATTGTACCAGAATGCAGTTTATAAGAGTCTATTGTGTTAGACTGTTAAATCAGTGGTTTGTTTCAGCTGTTGTTTATCAAATATTCTCATTTTCTGGGTTAAAACTGAAGAGTTAAAAGTGCGTAAATGACTTTATATTATTTTTATTCCAGTGAAGACTGGCCTGTATATCTATGTTGTAGACGCTGCTGCACAGATTTATTCAACCCTCGCCTCCTTCCATCGAGGTCGCAGGTCTATTATATTTTGAGGCCTTGGTCCTAGTTTTCACATTTTCCTCACTGTTTCGTCTCTTCTTGTGTTTAGTGAAAGAAGAGGGGGACAGGGAGATCTCCAGCAGCAGAGACAGCCCTCAGGTCCGGCTGAAGAAGCCCAGGAAGGCCCGGACGGCCTTTACGGACCACCAGCTGGCTCAGTTGGAGCGCAGTTTCGAGCGCCAAAAGTACCTGAGCGTCCAGGACCGCATGGAGCTGGCGGCCTCCCTCAACCTCACCGACACACAGGTCAAGACCTGGTACCAGAATCGGAGGTAAGGGAAAACAATGAAATGAAAAAAATAGGCGTGATGCCTCTGGGGTAGGGGGGTGAGAGAGGGGAGGAGGGCTGAACGCCATGTTGTCCTTTCACCACCAGCCTAAAGGTGACAGGGGTTCATTTTCTCAACTGCTCACCAATCACAGCCACAGTTTGTTTCAGTGGGTGCCACCATTTTCTTTAAGTTAAGTTATAATTTCAACTACTTTAAGACAGCAGTTTGAGAGCTGTGCTTTTTTAAAATTGCAATCCGATTGCTCGCCGATTATTTATCGAAGAATCGCTCAACCGAAAACCACAGTTTTTGAGGATGTGCTTTGAACACATTTTTCCATCGACCAACAAATCGATCATTGGCTTCGATTTGATAAAAGAAATAATAAAGAAAAAACAATCAGTGCAGATCTCTTGGTAACAAAGTCTAAAAGTTTTCCAACAGAGCTACACTTCGATTAAACACAATTTATCAATTAACTGGTTGTTGAAATAGAATCAGATTATTTTCGCCAAAATTAATCGATTAATTAATCGCCTTTTTTGAAGAGACAAAGACCTAATTTACCAAAGTTTTCCATCAGTCCGTATTGGACCTCATTAACATGCCAACAAATGTCTGTGTATGGCCACAGTCCATGTCCATTTTGTGTTAATTTTATTGTCATTTATTTAAATTTTGACTTTAATTTATTGAGAAAAAAATTAAATACTAAAAAAATGAAATCACATGACTCGGGGAGACGCTGTCAGCCCTGATATGTGTTTTATTCCTGCGCCCTTATTCAACAGTGGGTCATTTTAAAGTTTGTATAATCGATTAATCACCCCGTAAAGTCTTAATATCAAGGTGTCAACTTTTTCTTAATAAATCAAACTGGCTATATTAGCGAGGGAAGCCGTCTCCCCCCAACGTGAAAACATGTTTTCTGCAGTTTTCGCTTGACTTGACTCGCACATTTATTTATTTGTCTCCAGGTTGGACTCTCGAACAGCTAAATGACAGAAATAAATGTAAAAACACAACACTTTGAGGAATGAATAATGCATCGTTGCATGTGTGCATATCAATAATTCAAACAAACCACTATATCTACTCAATTATCTTTATTATGAATTATTCACCTGCGTGGAGTGCACACTGGCAATCGAGCAGACGTCCTTGGGTGTGAATACAGAGGCAGGTGGAGATTTTGGTGATTTGAAAAAAGAAAGAGAGAGAAAAAAAAAGATGCTTCCCTGACTTTTAATTGGACTCCAGGTAAACAGATGGGAGCTGTTTTAGTGTGTCAGCTTCAAACAGACTCATAATGCCACATGCTTTTAGGTTAAATCTGCGTGTTTTTTTTTCTTCTCCTGCAGGACAAAGTGGAAGAGGCAGACGGCGGTGGGGCTCGAACTGCTCGCAGAAGCAGGAAACTACTCCGCCCTGCAGAGGATGTTCCCGTCCCCCTACTTCTACCCACAAAGTCTGGTGTCCAACCTGGACCCAGGAGCGGCCCTCTACTTGTACAGAGGTCCCTCAGCGCCCCCGCCAGCCCTGCAGAGACCCCTGGTACCGCGGATCCTTCTGCACGGCCTGCAAGGGGGCAGTGAGCCGCCACCCCCGCCTCCTCTGCCTCCCATGTCCGGCGTGCTTCCCCGGCCGGGTCAGCAGCGGTGAGCCGGCCCCTGCTGAGTTCTAATGTTTTTGTTGTTTTCTCATACGCTGACCCAGGCAGCTTTGGACAGAGAGAAAGACGTAAAAGACGTGATAGACGCGCAGAAACAAAAAAAAAAGACAAACTGTTGAAGAAGGCCTTTTTATGGAGCAAACTGACCAACAGACTGAACTCTGAGGAGGACGGAGCTGTGAGACTCTGACTCTCTGACTGTGTGGAAGGATTTTAATCTTTTTAGTTCTCATCTTTTGGGGCATGAGCTTTATTTATAATTTATTTATTTGTCAATATGAATCAAAGATTCTATGTTATGTATTTATTTGATCCCAGTTTCAGTTTTTTCAGCGTCTCTTCCTGCTGCAGACATACTAGTGGTGGCACTTTGACCTCCAATCCAATGCCAATTAGACACCAATTATTATTATTATTATTATTATGGGAATATTAATTATAATTTTCTGATAAGTAATTTGTATTTTACGCAGTTAGAGGATCCAAAGGGACATTTCTATAAATATTTTTTTTTTCTTGAATTTTTTTTTTCTACAGGTGAGGAACACGATGGTCATAAACCTGTACATAAGAATATTTTTCATTTTATTCAACAGAGACTGATTTTAAGAAACTTTGGGTTGCTTTTATTTGATCAGCGTGCGCGTCTTTTTCAGGCCACGCTGATCCAACTTGAACATAATAGGCTAGATTAGCCACCAGAAACTATAAAAAACGAGTGACTTGGATTAAAATAAAGTGGGGGGAAAAAAACTAAAAAAGAAAACATATTTGCCTAATGATGAAGGACTTTGTATACCTGTACCCATTTCGAGGCAAACACAGGAGAGCTGCGTAAGAAAGAAGAATCTATATAAAGTCTTTTCTTGTTCTTAGTTGAGGTTTTAGCGCAGTAAAAATGTTAAGTCATTTATAAAAAGCAGTTTTATCCCAGCTAAAGGGGGAACAGGGGGATTAAACACCTCAGTAATGTTTTATTTTTTATTTTCTTCTCTTTTGGATAAACAAACCGGTTGGACTCGGGTCCAAGTGCGCAGGTGAACCTGCCTGTTGATTTGCTCTAAATGTATTTGAAACAAACCTTGTGCATTCCTTATGTTATTTCATATGAAGCCGTGATAATTGTTCTACTCTCCTTTGGTGAAAATGTATATTGCAGATATCAAACTTTGTGGAGTGGTTCTCGTATATTTCCTGGATCGTTTTTTTTAAATTTCGTTTTATTTTTATGGATTTATTTCCTTCCTCTCTCTCTCTCTCTAGCTTTCCCCGAACTTTCTCTCCTCCCCATGTGGTGAATTTTGGGGTAAAATTCACAGCAAAAGTTTGACAGAAAAAAAAGGGGGGGATTTGATGTAAAGAGAATTACTTTTATAAATGTGGAAAATAAAAGTCTTTCATTTACGCACGCGGCTGATGCTTGATTGTGTGAAACGGAGGGGACATAGAAGCAACACGTGGATTTTAATGATTCATCTTAGTCAATTCCTTCCCTGTCAACATATTAGTTTAGCATACAAGAGTATAAATGTTTTTTTATTTTCATTTTTATTATTTTTACTGGGCCTGTAGAGATGTTGGGTTGTATTTTAGCTGAGTCTGAATCTGCTAGTGTCTATCCAAGATAATTATTTCCACGAACTGACAGGATATTGTTTATTTTAACATAGAGAGGTCAAAATGAAAAAATCTGGTATGTCTGTGTGAGAGTCTGGTCTGAGGTCTGCTGCCCACCCTCAAATGTGAGGCTGATAAGAACACATGTCAGTGCCAATGAGCAAAGGTTGAAGAGATGGTTGGAGCAGCATTAATTAAACATCTCCACTTTTCCAGAAGCAGCCGGAAAATAAACAGAATTTTTAGGAGCTTGTGGGTTTCTATTAGTGGAGAAGCGTGTTGGAGTGAATTCTGAACACGTCTGTCAAACCGTTTCTCCCTCCTCTGTTTGGTTTAGAGTGGTTGGTTTAATTTATTTAATGTTGGAATGAGGGCGTGTGAGAAAAAAAGTTAATAAGGGTCTCTTCAGTGGAGCAAGAACGCGAAAAAATCTTAACCTTTACAAGAGAAACTATGACAACTAAGTTCAATTTTAAAAACGACTTATTCAGTAAATTAAAGCGATATTAGGATTTTATTGACGAGCTTTTAAATCATGTTCAGACGCACAATAAGGTAGGCCACAGGAGGGTCAAAAAGTTTGATTTGAAAATGGATATGGAAAATGAAAGTGCGCGTTTACGCACGACTCCCCCCTCTCTCCCTCATTTATTCAAACACACGATCAAAAGAGCAATCAAAGATCAATTCCAGCCAATCTCTTTCTAGAGGGGCCAACAAAGCAGAAGGATGTTCTGTCCAAAATGGAGCCCCTGTCCTCTCCAACCCCTCCTCTCCCTCCTCTCTCCCTCTCGCCATTCCCACTTTCCTAAATTAACAGCAGCGACTCCAATTCGTTTTCCATAAACAATGCAGGGGATGAAATATTAATGTTATGTGCGCAATTGTTTAAGTGCCCTAAATGATCCCATTTGGAAATTGATTGTTTCCATCCTTCTCTTCCTTGAGGGTGCTGGATGTGAGCTCCTGTGCCAAACGGTTCCAACAGCTGGTGACCGGGCTGGAGCTGACTGCAGACCGGGGATCAGCGTGGGGACAGCTGGTCAGCGGCTCCACCAACCCCCCTCCCATCTTCTATACAAATTTCACCCAACCACCAACTAACTGTCTCTCCCCCTCCGAGTGCACGAGGACCCAAGTTATCCGGCCGCGGCGCGTTGGGGGTTAAAGGAGTTCAGGCTGACGGACACGACTTGGCGTGTAGGATGTTAACGATTAGACAAAAGACTTTAATAGGTTTTAATTGAAAGTCGATAATGGGTTTGATAGCCAGCTCCCCCTGCTGTCATCCACGCATGGCACCTGTTATCCGGGGCCTCCACTTAGAGGGCTGACCACGCCGTGAAATATCAGAGTGACGGCCTGATAACTGGCGCGTTTATGATGCGTAAAATTGCATTAAAAATACAGTGAGGCGAGTTTGGAAGAGAGGGAGGAAAAAGAGGAGAGGGGGAGAAAAATCAAACACCTCCCAACTTGCCAAAAGATCATTATAGTCCCATCATGAGGAGCCGTGACCGATTCAGATAACGACGACCCCCTTTTAATGAAAAGGGGGTTATTCTTGCAAAGTGCACAGCTGATTATATAAGCACAAGTCCCCGTGTGTCTTGTTGGATGACTCGGAGATTTTTTTTTTCTCCTCTTTTCTTTGCATGTGAAAGGCTGCTGGTAAATCCCCCGGCTCTTACCACGGATTGTCCCCGGCTCAGGGTTAATGAAGTGCGGATGGAGTCTCGTTGAGCTCCCGACAGACAAAAAAAAAGGCTTAGACCCAGAGGATCACTGACTCTGCTTAATCCCATGGACTCCTAATAATAATAATTCAAAAGAAAAAAAAAACGATGAAAAAACAACCTTTTGATGAAATTAAGGCGAAATCAAAGCGTCATTTGCATTGTGCTCGTGGTGTGAAAGCTTCCCCCTATTTGTTTCCAATGAACCAATGAGAGAAATCTGCAGCTGGCATTAGGATTGTTTCGATACACTGCCAGCGTTTTGTTGGAAAAAATCCGCGAGGGAAGATGAAAAATAGATCAATTAAAATGTTCAAGAAAACGCATGGCCTATTTTGCACTTTTCCCCCCCCTCTCCAACAATAGCCATAAATGAGAAGAACTAATTTGATAGTTTCATGCGCACAAACGAAATGTGCTTTTATGTGAGCGATAATATCTGCTGTTAGCATGAGAATAAACTACATGAGCTTATTCCCACATGCTCACAGCCTCTATATATCCTGCATACATGTATTTAGAGCATTTTGATATAACTTTTGAAGCCATCACAAGTGAAACAAAAAAAGAGTAATACCATTTTATTACACATATAACCCTCTGGTGTAATGCTCCAATGTGTTTAACTTTGGTCCTCGAATAGAAAGAGGTTTTTTTTCTCCATTTTCATCCACACAGGCCTCTCTTTTAACAGGACAAAACGTGAATCTGATGGTTTTTAAAACGATAAAGGGAAAATATGCGAGTGGAAAAAAAAGACAAGGCTGCAGTTGGATGTATAGACTCGGATGTGTTTGCTGTGCGCATCAGAAATAAGAGAAAATAGAACGAATTCTTCATATTAAAATGCAAAACTTAAAGGTCACCCAGCTGCATCACCCAACACACACAAAAAAAAAGAAAGATCTTGCTCAGAAGCAGGAGAGAAAAAGTGTAAGAGAGCTTGGGTTTAAAATGAATCTGACTCAGCAATGAAGAGAGACATTTAGAGAGATGAAGAACATGATGAAGAATCAGCAAGAGTAAAAAAGAGGAGTGAAAGGGGAGCATGCAGCCTCCCGGTTAGAGATCCGATCCTTGCCTGGAGGTACGGGGGGCCGCGAGGAGGAATGAAAGCCTCGGAGTGGAGGGGAGATAACCCCACTAATCATTTCCCCAATATGACGGGAAGGAACTACAAACTTGGGTCAGGGGCGCGGGGATTGACATCCCAATCTCCGCAAATAATGAAAGCTTTCCTCTCGGATCAGAAGGAGGGTTTAGGAGAGGGAGACAGGAGAGGAGAGCAGGAGAAGGGGGATAGACACGGGGTAGAGAGAGGTGGGGCTGAAGCCTCACAACCACACACGGAGAGAGAGAGACACTGCTCATGAAAGCGCTCACTCTTTCATTTCTGCTGCAGGACTATACTGTGAATATGCCAGATGACTGAGAGAGGCGAACATTTGTGTCAGCCTGGAGATGACCCTCTTCAGCACCCATACAACAACCGCGAAAAGTTACAAATGATAGTGAGCGTAACCTCAAATTTAGAGAAAATATTCAAGAGTAGATATTCTCATTGGTATTAACAGTAAGTTTCAGACATTACTGCTTTAAACTGTCATATCAAACTCCATACAGTACTTTTGCATGAGTCAACTTGTTTAGTAAAAACCATAGACTGTATACACGATGGACAACTTGGTTCCGCCTTCCGCCAGTACACGGATTTGAAGCCGAAAAGCTCTCAGTAATTCCGCGTTTTCGCTTCACTTCCTGAAACCAACATTGCGCAGTAGCGTTGTACGCATTCGGCGGGAGAGTCACCGAGAGTCGCTGGCTGTGTCCGAAATGGATCCCTAACCCCTATATAGGGTGACTATATGGGGGTTAGTGCCATTTTGAGTAAGGTGACCAGACGTTCCCGATTTCCGGGGACCCGAATTGGATGACCTGTCCCCGGCAAAAGCTGTCCCCGATTTAAGCGTTTCATGAATGAGAACAAAAATGTTGCGTGAAGGCTAGAACAACGGTTATTACAGTAGCCGAATGGGTAGGAAGCACAAGTAAGCAGTCCTGAACAACAGTTTTTACGGGGGTTATTACAAGGGGCGTGCACTGCTACTAAATGGTACCCAGATGTTGTCTGTGATCACGCAGCCCATGCACATGTGCTGTTCTCAGAGTGGCTTCTCCCAGCGAGGAGGAAGACGGCGCCCATTCTATATACAGTCTATGTGAGGAACTATTAACTTATTCAGTTAGCGTAAAAGCTAATTATTCAAGATTTTGACAAAGGCTTTAGCCCAATCCTGTTAATACCAATGCAGTTAAGGTCTAACATTCGCACTTTTTAAAAGCTGCATCATGCTATATTTTGTCGCACACTGTAGTCAAACTGCAGAACAGTCATCTTGATTCCCGCTGTGATTGAATGTAACACCACCGGCTTCAAAACAACACATTTCAAAGTAAATACCCGTAGGTGGCTCAGCTGACAGGTCAAAAGTAATATGCACTTTATATCAAATGGTACTGAAATATCAAAGTAGCTGGTTTGAGCTAACACCTACAAGCTACCAGACTGATGTGAGCGATACTGCACCACAATATAGAGCTCTATTTTAGAGTATGAAAACCAACGTAGACCTGTGGATAGAAAACTCTGAAGATGTCTCTTACCGCACTCATTCAGCCAACCAGCATTTATTTAAACCTAAAAGTCGAGATCATTTTATTACAATAATTTGACTCCACAATGCCCTAGAAAGAATAACTTTATATCTAACTTCAAAATAGTTTTGAATCAAATAAAAATCATGATTAACGACTACTGAAATCTGATGTTGAATCATTTGTCCGACAGCCCTTATCCTAACCCTATAAAGTGTCTTTAAAGTCACAATTTTTTTTGTTTCTGTCTGTAGAATAACCTCCTCTGGACAAAGATTTACACCTCCCTCGTCACTGATCTCGTTTTCTATCAGCGAAGTTAATATTTCCTATCAAAAAATATCTCACCTTGATTTCTTTCCACTGTCAGATTTATCATTCACTGTGGAGATTTCCAGTTA